AGGAAGAGTTGTTGAGACAGTGATGTTGCTGCCACAACGGTCTAATTTTTTCTCTCTTTCAATTTGTTTGTGAAGGTATGCTTCTTTCTATAGGTCGCTATCGTATGCAAATGGTTGTTAGAGTATAATAAAGTACCCCGCACTAATGGTACGAGGTGACCTTGGAACTAAATGGACCGGAGCTGAGGCGTTTTACGTGTATTCGAATATTTTAATTGAAAAATTTAATGACTTTCTTGATCTTTCGATTTGTTTGACTCGTATTTCGGATTCAAAGCACTCCTTCCACTTGAACCTCCCTACGTCTCTTATTGTGAGCTCTTTGTGGCCTTCAATGTGTATTTCTACATTATTTAAACTTAGTTGTTCAGTTACCATTAAATGGTCGACTTTTATTTATAAAGTGTGTATGTGCCTTTTATTTTGCATATTTTGTTTCGTTATTATTTGGCGAAGATACTTGGTTTCTGAAAAGCATTGTTTTAGAATATATTGATGGTAACCTGTTTCGAGTGTTTCAATGGCTTTAAGGTCTCAAGGAATAACCCTAGCATTATCTATCTCAACGTATTTCTTTGTTATATATTTCGTGACTGAATTTTTAAACAACGAACAATTATTCGATTGTACTGCGTTCTCCGAACTCTTTTTGACTTTGTATACAAAATAAGAGATTATGCGAATCATGGAGTGGCCACTGCTACAGCACCAGACTAGGTTCATTATTGCATTGATGCCATTCCAGAATGAAGAAGTGATAGTTGGTTCTGCGCCTTTCATGTTCTTTTTTTCGCAGATCCAACGCGATCTTAATCAGGAGACAAAGCTGCTACAGAAAAGATTGGAGAAGGAGTTAATCAAGAAACATGAGTTGGAAGATAGAATTGACGTTCTTTTGCGTGACAAACTCTCTTCCACGAAGACTTCAGCCTACGTGAAGAAAATGGCGACCAACGTGCACAACCAGAGTCGTGAATTGGAGGCTCAGGTCTGTCCAGGAACTTGCGTCATATGGTAGTGCATATCGCTGCATTTTTTTATGCATTTGTAGCATGTTTTTGAAACGCTTCGAGGGCCAGTCTGAGACACTCCCTTTGATGATTCCGCTAAGTTCCTTAGCAGACTTCAGCTAATAACTAAAGGAACATTTTGTAACTTTTTGATGGACCTTAAACAGTAAATGAACATTTTAGTCTCATTTTTAAGGATACGTTTCCTCTTAGTCTTTCTGTTACTATCAGTTTTTTTGCTTATCCGCCCAATGTTACTGTTCATGGGTATGATGTTAATCCACAAAATATACTGGGTCTTTCGTCCCACTTGCACTAATACTTCAATCTGGTAAATTCGATCTCGAATCCTGCAAACTCTTGGGAGGCAACGTTGCGTTGTGTTTCTTAATATAGTGTCTCAGAGTCCAACCACCTTTGTGCTCCTGATAGGTCTTAACTTTCACACTTCTGTCAACTGCTATTGGCTTTTGTTCCACTACGACACTACCAATTGCCTTGGCCCATCCACTTGTCTTCTGCTCAACGCACTTAAGGTAGAACTACAAATTCCAATACTATGATCTGATGTGCGATTATTTTGAAATTTTCTACAAAATTCTAGTCGAAAGACTTACCTTCTATGGAATAGTTTGATATACATTTTAAAGCAAAAAGATATCGTTGTTATATTCAATTAAACTTTTCTTGGGTAATTTGGCTATCACTGATTGTCACTGTTAAAAATATAAAAACTCTTTTGCGGACATCACTTGTTGCGCACTGAGTGGTGAGTGGAGTTCATTGCTAATGACCGGTTAAGGGAAGGGTGCTATTGGATGCGCACAAGACGTACCGATAATCATAGGGGATCCCACCAACAGCCTTGATCTATGATAACGCAATGCGAACTGAACCGAAGCATTTAATCGAGTTAGGATACCTTTTCGTTCAATCACTAGACAGGTGTTGTTCTTGACCAGATACAGACAAGTATTTTCATTAAAGGCAGCAGTATTGGAAAATACTCTGGCCAATGATGCTCTTGAAGTTGCCCGGATTCGGGCGGAGACAAAGGTTATGGAGGAGCAAGCTCAAGGCCTAGAGAAGGAGATCGCAAAACGCTCTGATGACTTCGCCTCTCTGCAGCAGAAGATCAAGCAGGCCAATCTTACAGTTCAACGCAAGCAGAATCATATTGACGCACTTAACCGCAAGCTGCAACATCTGCTGAAGGATACCGGGGTAGGTACCAGATTATTGGATAGTGATTCAGCGTTATTTGCTTTCGTTTACGTCAAAATTTCAAACACTACGTATTATATGATACATACTAAAATCTCAAAAAAGTATTAAAGTATAACCGATGTTCGCAAAACCCTATTTTAAAGCATCCTCTTTGCAAATTATTAGTCATCGGTCCATAGCTAGCTTTAACTGATTTACTCAGTATGGGACGTTTTACCTTCTAGGGTATAGAACTAGGACCTCTGGAGATTATGCGCAATCACTTGATAAAGAGCATTGCAGCTAAACAAGAGGAGATCAGCACTCTTGAGCAGCAATGGCTGCGCGAACAGACGGAACTGATGAACCGAGTGAAGGAGAAGGAAAACCTTGCTGAGGAACTCTCTCGCCAACAGGTCTGTCTGGCCGTCTTGAACAGGAAAAAATTGCGGCTGGACTGTAACTTCTTGCTCTTTACCACAATAACTCTGAGAATCGAATTTTTGTCCATTGAGGTGCTACTTTTTGTCAACTTTAAGCCGATATAAATAATATCGAGAAGGAGAAGACACAGTTGAACCGCGACTTGGTGCGCTTGCAAAACAGCATGGTGCGCTTGAATAAGCGCATCTTTGGGCAGCGGTCCAGTGGGACTGCACTGGAACAGGAGAATCGGCTGGCGGAAGAAGATTTTATGCGGCGTATTCGAGAGAAGGAGGCACAAGCCGTAGAATCAGAAGCTCAGTTAGAGGATGCTGTAAGGGAAAAGGAAGATTTATTGGCAGAATTGCTAGAGACGGAGTGAGTTGTGTGCAAATTCTTTCATCTGGCTAAGGTGATTGTTGCTATATGATATGAGCTTTCTGCAGTTTTTTGTGAGGACCTTTGGGTTTTTTTCTTCATTTAATGCATGGCCGTTAGTATGCATTAAGAGGATTGTTAGCCAATACTGAGCATCTCTCAGAATGCACTTGAACATTTAATTTTCGATTTCCAGCAAATTTTGGGTGGATCTCAATTTGTTGGATAGGCAGGTGGTCAATTAGCGATTTTTGTCTGTGGTAATGATTCGACCATGCTTAATTACTTAAAACTTGGCACCTTTTATTATTTCAAAAAAGGAAATTCTGTTCCGTAAATTTTGTCACTGGTTTAGTTTTAATGGTCATCTTCGACACTTTCACTTCTGAGCAAAGGTACCTCACTTCGCGATGATAGGATGCTACTGCAAGAGTTTGTTTAACAGCCATTGCTAATGGACTCAACTTCCTCCAATACAACGTGCGATGATCTATCAGTAATGCCTAGTTTTGTTATGTTCGGAGCACACAGTAGGATTCACTTTAAGGCAGCAATTTTTGTTTGTTTTTGTGATGACTACGCTCAATTGGCCAACTTGTTCGTGTACTTAAAGTTTGTGAATTTCACTTTAAGTTGGACAAAACGCGCAAACTTGAAACACCATAACGGAGAAAAGTTGGGTAGCATATGCTTCCAATCAGGGTCCCCTCCCAGTTACTTTGATTTCCGTAATTGTTATTCCGCGTAATGTGTATTAGGCCGGTGGTTATGATTTTATAATTCTTTTTGTTTGCTCTCAAGGTGAAGTTCAGTCCTGTTGATAGTAAGTTTAATTTAACTTCCCCCCAGAGCATACTTAGTATTTGGAATTTATCTCAATACGCAATCATTTGTGGCTTTTCTGTCTTAGGATGTAGGAATCATCAACAATTTCCATAAGGCTTAATTATTCCAACCAGTGATGCATTTTCAAAGTAAATGCCGTGATGAGATGGCGTCGATGTGATATGAGCATCTTTCCCTTTTTCGCCTTACTAGACGTCACATACTACTGTGGGAGAAGAGAGTGCAACTGATCAATGAGACACGTCAGGCCGTTGACTCAGCCAGTGGTTTGGCCGAATTAAAGGCTATTCGCGTGGAGATTCATCGTATGGAAGCCCGCAAGGCACAGATAGCTCGACAACAGGAGCAGCTGATTCAAGCACTGGAAAAGTCCGTTCAAAAGTAGGTCTTTCATCCCAGTGTAACAGCAGTGGTGCTTTGGTAGCCGGCCATCGTTTAAAAGATCGCCAGTACTTAGTCTAAATCAATCTTTAGGAAACTTAGCCTCCTGTTTCTTACTTACTTCAGAGCGCTACATAGACATGAGAACTCTACGCAAGTTTTTTATTTTCATTCGCACTTTTAGGATATTTAAAATCTGCACAGCACTTCAATATATGCGGGACATCGCTTATCAAAACCTCTCATTTTAATGGATTTGACTTTGTTGAAACATATTGATGCTTTATTGTGGAAATTTGAGTATCTCCATTCGTGTTTAAAACCCGGAGCCTTGCATAAATAGCACTTTTATGAAGTTGCATCTTTGGCATTCCTGCTAAACATAGTGGACCTTACTGCTGTTGTTCCTTCATCCACCCATATCACAGACTTACAGCAAAATTATTGTTTTCCACAGCAACGAAAGTCTAAAGAAAATGTCTCGTGACATCAGACCAACCTAACACGATTGACTGGCAGTCATATCCCTTGAAGTACCAAACATGCTTTAACAATCTGTGAACTACCCATAAATGCTTTACTCTTACGGTTACAACTTAGAGCAATCGTAATCCATAGTATTTGCCACAATTTTCTGGCCTGTTATCATTCTTGAGTTTCATTAAGGATCGGATCCTATAATTGCTTGGTTGCAATTGTACGAAGGCATAGAATGAAAAGGACTTTCGAAGACATGATCAGCGATGTGTTACGCCGTTGACGTGCTCCTGGTTCAGTCTTCGGCCTGTGACTAAGCTGTTTCATGGTTTGCCTGATTTTGAGTCGCTTTTAGGCGTGATTCTATCATAACGCACAACGAGTGCGCCAAGTCAGTGAAAGCCAAGGAAACACTGACGAAAAACACCATACTTCGTGAAATCGAGGGTCTTCGCAGCAAGATTCTCGATTACAAAAAGGCTAGTTCACTTTAATTCAAGTTCTGGAAAATTGTCATTAGAAGTCCAACTTTGATATGGAATGACGAGAACTCGTCTTTTTCAGATTTTAAAGCTTATCTTTAATTTCGATTTTGAAAATGAATGCGCTGCATACTGTATACTGAATGTGCCATACGAACCAGATACGAAATTATAGAAGTAGTCAAAGCATTTAATCAGCATAACTAATCACTATGGGAGGGAACCAGGCAAGGGACTTTTATCTCATTATTAATATTTCTCTCTACCCATCGAAATGCTAGTCTAAATGCAAAGAAGAAGTTATCACATTCCAGGCGTTTCCTGTACTTATTCGACATGATGGTTATGGTTAAGTTCAATTACTCACTATAAGCACTACTTGTGTGCGCATAAGGATATATAAGCTTTCCTGTAACTGACCGTTGTTACTGGTAGTGATGGGTGTCTGTTGCTACTGCTGCGTTTTGCGTGCACAGAAGTGGCCTACTTGGTGGGAACTGACCAGACATATTTTAACACACGACCTGTTCGACTAGCAATCAAGCACATACCATTTTGACCACCTGAGCTTGGTTTCGAGTGTTTTTACTTGTCTCTTACCATCCTCCTCTTTGTAGGCGATCGGTGAGTTCGATGAAGAGTCAGAGAAATTGGAGGCTGAATCAAAGCGACTTGAAGGTGACTTAGAGGCCAAGTATTGTGCATGCGAATCGGTTCGAAAGCGATCAGTTGAGCTGACCAAACAGTTGCAGCAATTAGCTGAATATCGACAAAAGGTAATGATCACTTTCGTAAATCTATCAAGCCCTTTGTCCATTGCTTTCGAGGTTTCATTTCCTACTAGTCTTGCTAAGTTCAATGCGTAGCAACAACTCAGTGTAATTGCTACAAAGTTTAGAGAATGTTTGAGTTAATGCGAATATCGATTCACGGTTGCTACAATAGACTCCAGAATCTTGGCAATCAGTTCCATTTTTTTGAAGTCCTGTCTTATTTTTCTTAAGCGACCAAGCTCATTGTCTGTCGTTTTCATTCCCATGTTTAAAATAATTTTCTGGTTTAAACAATTTTTGCTGGCAAAACGAATCAATTATTAAAAATTATATTAATGCAGGGAACTATTTTGTTATTGTATGCTCTCATAAGAAGCAGAGCTATGAATTACAGACAATGCGATGTTTTATCCTAAAGAGGCACTATAAAGTCTGCTTCTAGTCACGTCCAGTTATTCCACACATATAACACTTATGATTCGTGGTTAACTAATGTAAGGATGTTCTGAGGAGATTTCGTAGATTAGGAGCTTGACCGGACTTTGTGCATGAAATAAACAGACCGGAGCTGCATAATTCAGGCTTAAAAGGTTTTATGAAGCGAAGACTCGGGGTAAGAGAGCAGGCAAGATGGCACCGTAAAATGTACTGTTGGTTAGTTCGCCGATAATTTGTTAGCTGTACGAGCAAAACCTTACGCATAATTGAATAATATTCATGGGTTAGAACAAATTTTTGCTGCGGTTTGTATCGAAAACGGCAAAAGGCTGAGGTAACTCGATGAATGGTTGTGGGGTTCAATGATAGGATCATTTGAACCAGAAATGAATTCAAAAACTTATTTTCTGCCGTTGTCTAATCACAACACGTGTTCTGCATTCGTTACTATTTAGTGTTGAATTTTCCCTATTTACGCCAGCAACTTTCCTTTCATTCATGGCAGGCAATCAAACGTAAATGTTCAAACCCATTTTGATTCCGGTGACAGTAGTTTGAATCTGACACTTATTTCGTGTCAGTACGCGGACAATTCACTTTTCATGACAAAATCATGTTATTAATTCGACTTCAGGCACTTAACTTGTATAAACATTTATTGGTTTGTGAAAAGGTGCAAATTATGTGCATACCGAACATCGTATGTATTTGCTTTTCGTATTCTGGATTTAAGTCGTACATCCCATCAGTCCTCCCGAAATTTCGAAGCCTTATAGCATTATTTTTATGGAATAGAATAGCACACAGTATGCTTAATATTGTGGAAATTTTTTGCACATTATGCTGCAGCGGAACTCAATGACATACACGGTTTGTTACCATTCTTGGACAGATATTTAATCACTTTTCTATCCATACACGGTGCATCTGTTTGTTCTGCCCTTGCAATCACTTTCATGTTCAAGCCTTGACCTCTATTTTGCAGAATCTGATAGAGCTGCAAATGCGCCAACACGCCTCGCGGTATTGGGAGCAGCTGTTGGCTGGCCGCTATCGCCGTATTTGTCCCACTCGGCAGGCGGCACGCAGCGAACGCGAGCGCCAAATCGGTCGGATGCGCTCCATGCTGGCAGTAGTGGATCGGCTAACCTCTGAGTTTCCTATGGTGTGTTTCCCTGCCTGTAATTTCGCGCATAAAATTGGTGTTGGGACTCAAAAATAATCCGCATCTCTTTCGGTATCGATATTTTCTTTAAAACATATTTGGTGATCAGATCGAGTATTTTGTAACTTGGAGTGTATTGTTTCAAGCAGTGTTGATTTATATTGGATGCACCTTTAAGTCAGAGATAGCAAAAGCTGCAAATTTTTAAGTCAACTTGTTACACTCAAACTTTAGTAGCAACTTTGAGCAGGAACAGGTGACTGGTGCATAAAAATCAATTGCTGTTTCTTAAACCCTACCAATTTTCGTCAACATCTTTAGTACAAGTGGTGGTGACAGCAACTGCGTAATTTAGAATTAAAACCTGCTTAGCCAGGCATTCAGAAACCTATAGGCTGTGGGGTTATAATGGCAGTCACTAGTATGCTTGCTGGTTAGTAATTTCGTGTTGAATTGTCGATTTTACTGTCTTGATTGAAACAAAACTGTTACAAGGTTAGGCAGCATTCTAAACCAAAATGAAGTGCCCTTTTTTCTCAAATTCAGGTCAAACACGATCTTTCGGTCGTACGGCAAATACTGACAGAGAAGTTGGAAAAGGAAGAGAACTCAGACGTCATGGATTCTCAAACTGACCGCACCGAATAGAAGTTTAATGGTCTAAATCAATTCAGAGATATTATAGCACTTCTCCTTATAATATAGGTCTTAAAAATAATTGAAAAGAGCTTTTACATGATGTTATGGGGTTGGTAGCATTGGCCGGAGAACATGAGTGTACGAGATGGCATGTAAATGTTTTATTCTTTCACGTAAATGAATTCATGACCTTCAATGGTTTTTATATCATTTTCGAGTTCATTCAATGCCTTTTCCAGTCGTTCTTTCTTTTGTTTCTTATGCAAAGTGTCGATAATGACAGATAGACAGAGAAATTCGCTGTAGACCTGCGAATGTTTTTCCTTTAATAATTTCAGAAGGTTTTCACGCTCCTCTGAGGAGAGACGCGGAAGCTGTTCATGCAGGGCAACTTCATCGCAGTAGCATGCGTAAAGTTCAGAATTTTTAAGTTTTTCTTTCTTCCTTCTTCTTAAGTAAGATGGCACTTTTCCAAAATCCTTAGGATTGAGTAAATTGATTTATTTACCTTTTTATAGATGTAGTCTTTTATAAGGCCTGATCCGTTCAGATTGTACTTGTGGCCAACTTTAGAATCAACAATCATCGGCGCGTGATTTTGGGGTTCGGACAAAATTGCCAGAAGCTTATTTTGATTTATACTATTTAATTCAGAGCGATTTTTGTCACCGAGACTCTGACGAAAGTCTGGTAATGGTGGTTTCTTTCCCGGACAAATGTTTATTTTATCGCTGGCATTGGCATTCTGGTGGATATTAATCCTCGTGTGAGAACGCAGAAAACGATCGGGATTGGGTCGTTCCACTGTTGGTGGGCCCATCGTTTTGAATTTACCGACTTTGTGGTCCGTCATTTCCTTTTTAGCCATGGGTCCATAAACGGATTTATATCTATAGCGGCATATTTTTGGAATCATTTGCCTTACCTTTTTGGTTTTGGTGTAACTGTTGGTTCAACAGGTACCAAATTATATATAGATTCCATTTCTTAAAATCTAAGCTGGCCTAGGAGGCGGCTTTCATGGTTAGGTGCGGAAGAACATTACATACAATTCCAGATAGTTAGCATTAACGAATGCTTGTTGCAGCTCGCAAAAGTTTAAGGACACAATAGTTTAGTACTGAGGTCAAGAATAATGGGATTAGATGAATTTAGACAGGATGAGTGAGGGTGTGTTAGTTCTGAGGAGCTGTGGGGCGTGAGTTCGTACAGTGGTCTCGGTGTAGCTATGGCGATTGTAAGCATTCGCTATGAATTGAAACGAAATTGACCTTGCAACATATTTCAATGTATAAATTAAAAGTTCAGATATTAAGACTAATAATAACACCAAACTGCATTTCGGATGGTTTGTGAACTTGCTGAAATTTTCTAATCGGTTCTTGTAATTAATTATTCGAATTAATTAATTCTTTCTAATTTTGCACTGCTAAATCGAGCAAACTAAAATTATTTTATTGCCATTCGTGTCATATTTGGCTCTAGTCACTCTACTGGTGCTGATTAAATCGACAGTGATAGGTTATTGACTAATCCCTTCTTAATGCTCAAAGCTAATTAACGATATGGCTCTTCGAGACTTCCCACATGGTGAAAGAAGGCAGTAAGTGAAGCCCGATACATGCATTTCAACGAGGACAAAGCAACTGTGTGCGGCCCAAAGGCCAGCCCACGAGTACAAGGACCAAATAAATCCTAAAAGTTACCGCCAAACGTCAGATAGTCACAAAAACAAAGCATTACACTGCCCCTAGCTTCCTTTAAGCGACGTCCTCGGCGCTCCCCTTGGTACACCTCCAGCGCCACACATCATAACATATTCGGTGCTAAAATAAAGCACCCACAGGCTAACCGCGCCAGTCGACGGATAGCATGAGACTGAGAAACCGTACTTGGTCTCCTCTGCAGCTTCAACTGGATCTGGAGTTACATTCATTTTGACAGCCAGATTCAGGACCGCATGCATCTGTTAACCATCAAGTTCTTCCAGAACTAGGCGGTTGAACTCTGGTCTAAAACAGATATGTTACAGAAAAAGCGAGATAGGTCGCTATCCCGTACACAAGGAGAATCGTGGTGCATTCCTGATGTAGGGGAAATTTCGACACGAAACTCTTCCAGATGGTTTACTGCGGTGTCACTTCAGTTGTTAATACGGGAATAAGGTGAACCCAAATGCAGACGTCAGCCTTGACCCCTTGGATGTGAGCAAGTCAGAGATTCTCCGCCGCCGATGTAAATGCGCCTCCTGCACACCGTGAGCACATGCAACAAACGGTAGGTGCTAGGATAGAAGACGTTAAAAATGTCGGGTTCGCCTTCTGCTGCAACCGGTGTGGCGTCCCGAGACTTTTCACTGGGTGGAAGAAGGCAGTAAATGAAGCTGGGTGCATTTATTCCAAAGAGGACAAAGCAACAGGGCCTGAGCATGGCCCAAGGCCAGCTCACGAGTACAAGGACCGGATAAACCCTCAAGTGACCAATAAACGTCAGGATGTCACATAGGCAAGGCATTACAAACAATAATTTTATTTGTGCAGCTACCAAGACTTCCTACGTAGTAGAAGGATATTTGTGCTGAGTACGTGTATTCTAGGATGTTAAGAAGGTATTGCCCGATGGCCAACCTGGGCGTACAAGGCGAGACCAATATCATGGTAGCTATGATAAAACAAAAATTAAAAAGTTAATGTTCATCCAATGTCCTGAGACTTCTCATTTAGTGGAATAAAGATGGGCGCCAACTCACGCGGCAGAGGAAGGTGAATACCAAAGTACTCGCCAACCATGATTGGACATTAGCGAATCAAAAAAGCTAGTTTCAAACATTTGATTTCACTCAGATAAACTCATCCACCAAGGTACTTGACCATGACTAGGAGTCATCTGAACCGTTAGTTGTCCTTTTGAGACACTGTTTTCTTAATTAGGGTTCGTAGTCTAGTGTGGTATTCTAGGCCCTTTTCTTAATGGACCCGAGAATACTATGAGTGAAGTACAATTAATCACTGTACTTCACATTGCACAATAAGTAATGTACTCAGAGCAGCTAACTTCACCTTAGAGAGGCTTTCACAAGTGCTAGTCAATAGGAGAACGACAAATGCCAAATTCTATTTTCTCTATTGCTCCCCTTTAACGAATAAAAAAACGAGTAAAGCGCACATCACTGCTAATAATTAGGTCACACACAAAGAGTTCACTTCTAACCAGTGTCAAATTATACGCTGTTTACATTGACAGGGGGTGGGAGAAGGCAGAGGTTATAGGGGACCTCACTCTGCCAGAAGTTTTCCCCTTTCCAGGCCACCCAGCCCTTGCCGAGGATAGTCCCCACATGAGCCGGCTGACCGGTGTAGTGCGGGTCGAGGACCAGAAAACGATTTCGGGCAGTTCCAGCCGCAGAGGCAATGGAGAAGTCGGTAGCAACCTGCACGCCAATAATGGTGTGTGCCAGGTCTCCGCCACCCACCATCACCGGTCCACCGCCCGACGCAAAGTGCTCTGCCAGTACTGACGCAGCAACAGCTGCAAAGTCGCGACCCCGCGGCACAGGCAACAAGCGGCACTGTACGCCGTAGAGCTCCTGTAAGCCGAAGCTTACCTTCACAAACAAATTGAAAGAGAGAAAAAATTAGACCGTTGTAGCAGCAACATCACTGTCTCAACAACTCTTCCCTACTGCCTGTCTCCCAACCCCGCCACACACTTCGACTAGGAAGCAAATCAACTCTCCCCTTGTCCGACCGACCAGTTAATTGGTACACCTGCCCTATTGTGCGGACCCTGCAGACGCTCACTTCGATAATGCACACAATTCGCTCCACCCATCGGAGTAGAGAACAGATGATCAGGCAAAAATTTCGACACCCTAATTGGACTTAGTGCTCAACGCCTTACCGTGAAACAATCTCAAATGCACAATCGACCTACCGGTGTAACTGTGCCAGTACGCTGCTTATTTGGCTGAGATGAACAATTAGGCATGCCTGTTCATCTACCTCCAGGTCAGCCGTTGTAGGTAGGTTAGACTTACTCGCAATCGCGTTCGCACCGATAACCTAAATGCTACATTGTGTGGAGGGTAGTGGTACATGCTCAATGCAACACACTTCTTTGGATGAGCTTCTGTCGACAGGGGCTTGACAAAGGTCTTGTCAGGGTAAATTAAAAAGTACGAAGGATAAAAGATATTTGCCGTTGACGACTAGGCATGAAAATACGTAGCGGAAGAGTCAAGTTTATATGTTGATTGATAAATATGCCTATCAAAAGCCGCTCCAAATGATGAGCCACACATGGAGACATCGATAAAAATAGAGCATTGTGTCATGAAAATTAAATTTCCTTAACAACTGTATCAAGAAAATAAAATGTAAATCGAAATGTGGGCAGCAAATAATGTCAACCAACTGGTTGTAATATCTGTGCTATTTATTTGTGGGACATCTCTATTGAAGTCGAGGAAAACATTAATATCATTTTACGATTCAGAGTCAATCCGCAGCAGACTAATTTATGTGGCTGAACGTAGGGAACGGAGGTTGGAGACAAAGAACTCCACGCAGTCAACCCAAACAGAAGACAACATGACTGCAAATGCAATGTAAGATGACCCGTTTAGGGAATTTCACAGCATTAATTTGCTCTCAAAAGACCTGCAACCGTACAGAGATAACAACGTCTGAACAGTATGTTTGCAGAATGTTCGACCCATCCCTTCTCCATCCACACGCAAGTCCTCAACTTCCTTACTGTAGAATGCCTATTAAGTATGAGAATTCAACAAAGTTCATCCTCTACACATCTCGGTCCAACACCAACTCTCCACAAACTTCTTCGCTAACATTTCAACAAAGCAGTTCGGTGAGATCTACCCTCCAGATTCGACTCAACAAACTTCCTTATGACGGTTGATCAATCCAGCGACTGATACACCATTGATCATGTTAAGCGCAACAAGCCAATAATGGATTCGCAAACACGTTTCAATTTGAGTGCTGAAGCAATTCGATCACACCTACAGTATCTGTGGGGACGAAGTCATGAGGGAGACGAACTAAGCGATTTGAGCCCACATGCGTCAACAAATGCCCGTAAATCGGGGACTGTCATTTCACTAAACTATCCGTCATTCAAAAATGTCAACTTGCTACTCATATTACTATTCTGGAAAACGCTACTCCACGTAGAAAGACTATACTTACCCTGTGCATGGATTAAGCATTCCAAATCAACTTTGCCATTTACTGAGGGTCAAAGAATTATGGTTGAGTTTCGCGCCTTCGATGCAACTTGTTTAGGGGGCGTGCAACAAGAATTTCTGAACTCATCAAAAGAAGCTTTCCCTCTCATTATTGTTAGGCAATCGAAGTCTTTATGACTCTCATCACTGAACTTGCTTAGGAGAGAGAACGATATTGCCTTTGTGTTCTTCAGAAGGTAATTTCTCCACCTTCCCAGTGAGTATTTCTTCTCAGCGCTCTGCGTTAGACACGCAGGATAGGCAACTGAGGAAATGAGGGCGAAGTAGAAACAGATGGCCGAGATTCGAGTGCTTTGGAATTCTAAAGGGTTGTGCGTTGTAGTATGTTCATTTTAATAGAAAAAAATTACGAATTGACCAGTGTTTTAAATTCAATGACACAAAAAAGAGTAAAATATAATGAACGGTTGTATGGAATGCGAAAATAACTGTGTAGATCCTTTCGATTGTCCCTTATTCGATTTACAGGATGGTAGCACAGAGTTTACTCGTGCTTCCTTCTAGCCCTTTCTAATCCTATTTTTGGTCTGGAATTATCTACAGTATGCAGAGAAACAGGCAACTGACTAAAGAACACACTATCGAAGACAGAAACACAGAAAAGTTAAATTATGATTAAAAAAGGATACGGGTAAGTGACTAAAAGGAAAAGCGGGTGGTGATATGCAAGTGATCATGCAGGTGGAAAGGCGAATCAAGAAACAACCGTGGATGAGCACAAGATTGGCTGAAGAAGAGTGACGACTTACCTCTAAGGAGCCAATCCACTGTCGCGAGCCAACGAATTTTGGAGGTTTGTCACCTACACGAACGAGAGCCTCCTGAATTTCTCGATGAGAGGGTAGCGGCCGCAGCGGTGCCACTATGCCTTGCCACAGCAGCCACGAGGCCAGTGTCTGCAGCGAACGATAGGCGCAGCCCCAGTTCTTGTCATCCAAGCCATCCTATCAAGTACCACAGAAGAGGGGAACAAAGGCATTCGTGATGGAACCATCATTAATGAGGTAAAAAGGGAAGCGGTAATGGAAACTTCCAGGAAATATCAATAGCTATAAAAAAACAATGAAGAAAAGGCCATTCTCGATCCTTCATTTCGTCATTCTAGTTAAAAGAAATAAAACAAGAATGCTAAACGGTTCAAATTAAAGGGATCAAGAATATCTTTTTGTTACTTAAGTCCAATTTGAAAACACACGCCTTTGCAGACGATTTCCGTAGAAAAGTACAGTAATTTTAAAAACAGTGACAAATGGGCTATTAAACTGCAGTAGTCGAGTTACCAGAACTCAGGTAATTTAGTTTCCTCAAACCTAAGTGGACAGAGAGGAGGTAAAAGGTACTCCAGCATGGGCCGAGAATGTTTCGCGGATAGGTTGGGTAGCTCAGCGATCAAAACACGAGATACTCAAGCTGAACGAAAGCTCAAATGAAGCGGTTGTCAGTGGCTTGAGCAGTGCTGCTCACCAAGGCCGACTGTTCATCATCAAAAATCTCCAGGTTAACTCGTTACAATCGAATAAGGCAGATACTTGCATATTCATATCGGAAAAAGCAGATCCCAAAGCGTTCATGCACAGCTAGCGTGACAAAAGAATCAAAGAGTTCACTTCTAATATCCACCGTATTGATTCGCGCATCCGGTATCCTGGTCCTAGAGATTCGTTCTGAACAACTCAAGATTGAGCGATGATAACTTTGAATACTGCTAACAGTTCGATAGGAACTCGCAATGTGTGTTAAAATGGAACAGAGTTTCTTCTAAATAGCCGGCAACATCAATTAAACTCCACTCATCGATGTTTCAGGACATTTTCACTACTTCCTGATGACCTTCCCAAAGTGGGTTAAAAGCGTTTATGTCGGTAAATGGATTAGTGAAATAAGCTTCAAGACCAAACCAGCTAATGGCCCAAAGGTACTATTATCGCGACATCAAAATCCTTGACTCAAAAGGTTCTATATGTGACGCGAGAGCACTGAAACGGGTAATTTGAAAAGGATGGTATAATCCTGAATTATATCATGTTAAATTCAAGCAGCAGAATTCACTTTCCTTACCTGAGGGATTCATTTCGGACAATTCAATTAAGGGTCATTGCTAGATAGCGCACATATGCAAATCCAATCTTCCAAACCATCGAATTGCTTCAGCCGGTGTATTTGTTCGTTAAGGTTTTCAGATGTCTGTGCTGAATCGTTTTTTTTTTTTAAAACTTGGATTCAAAACAAAACTGCACCGCAATGAGTGTCAAACTAACGGCTACCAGCCAACAAGACTTATTTGAAAGACAAAGATAGCAAATTCTAAACCTAACACTTAGTGAATGCACACACACTCTGAACCGCCTAACCACCTCTCTAGACTATTCACAAGACCCTTCACAATCAAGGATCAACTGCAATCATTTCATTGAGAACCATACCCGAGAACACTACTGATTTTGGCCTCAGGAAGACTTCTGATGCAACTCACTTGCAGATAATGTTTATAAGTATACCTTCCGCGGATGACCTCACAACGAACATCAGAGCCGAGGTTGGATGTAGGAAGTAAGAGATGAGGCGATACGAGGTTCTCCTCGTTGGGGCCGAGAAGGCGTCTGAAGCCCTGAGTGGGGAAAAGAGCCAGGCCGCGTCGCAGTATAGGTTTCTGAGGTAACCCAAGACCTGTACTTATAAATAAGGGATGAATCGAGAAGGAAGCTAGCTTATTTTCGTTCACCATGTACATGGATAAATCACACCTATTATTATCGTAAAATGCGATTTGTAAAACGCTTTACGATAACAGTGACTATAGAACTGAAGCAATCATTGAAGGCGATCAGAAAATACCATTGCCTGTTCACATCAATCCTCCTATTTAATTGGTCAAATAGCATTGGTTCCCAAAAAAAAAGAATCGGGAGGTAATACCGCAGGAATCTATAATTTTCACCTTAACTATTCAAAAGTATTGGATGTGCGCTGTTGTGCAGAGACAGACGGTTAAAAGCAAGGAATCTTGTCCAAGAAGAAGTCATACTTCTAAGCATCAGCTTAGAGAAGAGAAATCAATATTACTATTAAACCTGACACATATCACAACTTAATACTGTCTGCGTCATCTCAATCCTATGATGGCAACGGGTAGTAGTCTACAACACTAAATGTCCTTTCGTTGATATTAACTTCAACGTTTTAAGGTAAGATTGAACAGGGTAAAAACTGTTAAGTGACCCTGATAACCAGAGACCAAATGCAGTTCACTAACAAAAATAACAATTTCACCACCGCACGTGAAGCCACTCGAAATGATGCCTTAATTTTAATTCCTTACACATTGATAGCACAGTCAGATAACCACAGTAGTCCACGAATCAACAACGTACCCCTATGAATGTCTTCCCTCAACTTTACTTCGTCCTTACAGACGGGCGGATAAAATATTCGAATCAATTGATCCTCATACCGGAAATAATACGCCGTCAGGCTGGGTGGAATTGCATTCTCTTTCAGCAAAATAGCCTTCAAAGCATCATGATAGGCTTTCAGGTAGGTGCGAACTTCATCTTGAAGGTGTTCAAAGAGACCGCCTTTCAGAACATCCGAAGTGATAGAAAAGAAGGCATCTACGTTTAACCTGTGGACTCCATATGGAAGTTTTCGAGGTGATTTGATCTCGGCTCGAAGACCGGAATCCTTAGGATTGCAGTCTAGGTTAAACTGCCCCTCGAAAATCAGAGGATCCAGAAAAGAGGCACTCTTGAGATGATTCTTAAATAATCTCTCGGATTGGCTCGGCTGCAGGGGTTTAGCTTTGGAAATGCAGCAATCTTCGTGAATAAAGATGAGGGAATCCAAGGTTTCAAATATGTGAGCAAAAACTTTTCCGATGCTTCGTTCCTCCCAGGAAATGATATGATTTCCGTAGCGAACGAGGACACGAAGGTAAATAACTCCACTTGTGGCAATAGCAGAAGAGTGAACTAGCTCCATCGTTTCTTTACATTGACCTGCAATAGGAGTAATGAAGGAAGCAAACTAAATATGGATTGTACCGAAATGACTAAAGTGAAGGACATGCGGACACGCATTCTGAGGTCATAGTAACCCTCAAGGTACGTAACTCTATATTAGTAACAACGGAAAGTAAATGCCGCAGAATGACGAGGACTGTGACACCACCAACAACTTTGCAAGCTTATTTAAAGAGACTGCAAGTGCTTTACGTTGCAGCAAAGCGTTAATAAACCCGTCCTATGTTGGATATATGCAGGTTACGGAAAGATGGATCTGATATTATGAGGTTCTTTAAATAAATAAAAAACGGTGCACGTCTCACTAATGAACACCACTTCACAAAAGGGCTCTATTGCTGATTGGGTGGTTAGTGTTTGTGGGAAAGACATCGGATCGGAGAAACAGACACTGGCTCCAAATGGTAGCCCATAAATGCAAAAATTTTTTAAGTATTCGAAAATTATCGTTTTACTTGAGTCATTTTTAGGTTTTTAATAATTAACCTATCATGCTCCATAAAAAGGTATAAGTTACTGTGTTTCTGCACACCATTAAAGAATTGCATAATTTTCATGCTAAAAGTTTTAAATTTGAGGTCCTGAACTGCAAAATTTTAGTGCTTTAATTACTTTTTTGGCGTTTTAAGACTCCCCATGGGGAAGAAGGCAGTAACTTGAGCCGAATGCATGTATTCCAAGTCGAACAAAGTAATTAGGGTTAAGCAAGGCTAGAAAGCCAGCCCACGCGTACAAGGCCCAGATGAATCTTGAATCGATCTCTATACGTCAAATAGTCACATAAACAAAGTATAGCAGCTTGCTTATAAATGATCCCTTTGGCGGCTAACTTTTGTCGTGTGTGTAGCATTCTGTCAGGTAGGGAGCATTAAGCTGGATTGTATACATGTATTCTGAAGAAAGAAAGGGTAATAATCCTCAGTATGGCCTGAAGTCTAGCTCATGCATACAAGGGCCAGACGATTATAAAAGTAACCACCAGACATCAGTGTGGGCTGATCTTCCTGCAATGCCAAATTCCACCTATTCCCCCCTTCCAAAATTAAGTATTTAGAAGAATCTTATGTACTCTGCAGGCTGAAGCAAAGGTTTGATAAAGTGAGAGGGTGTTTGTCAGTTCGGCCACGAGTTCCGTGCATGATGTACGCCAGGGCACTTTCTTAAATTGGATTGTTCATTTATCCATACCCACACATATTTATATCCTCGAAGGGATGATTTAAAAACCTATTTAACGAATAACCCTATGACGCCAGACGTGGACATAGACTCTTAACATCGTGAAGTCAACCCATTCAAAATCTATTTTTCACACATGTGACACAGATGTCGGTGCACCGATGATCTTGTGAAACAACGCCTTCCTCAACCATAGCACTCTTCCTTTACTACGAGCGTTAACTTGCCCGTGTAGGCGGATGTATAGTAGCTCACACATCAGAGCCGTATCGAGATCGCTATAGTGGGTAGGGATGCCCCTGGTCGATGTGGCACCACCCATTTCGCCGCATCTCCACACGCATTCGCCTCTCTGTCCTCTTAACTCGTACCGTCACTCCTCCTTCTTCCACCATGTGACTAAATCAATGACCCACTTCATTCCTTCTGACCATGTGGTTGTCTGATGCTTTGCTCATCGTCTCACACTAGGTTACGGTTACCGGCATGGTTCGCAATGTCGCCACCACAGTTGCAAACATTGTCAAGACTGCTTGCACACTGTTGTGAAAATAAGCCACTTAGTGCTGCTGCCATCAGGTAGCGGAGGTGGCTCCAGTGTTGTAGGGTAGAATGGGTGCTGTCGGAACTTATTCAAGCCTCTTTGAGGACACAAAGACTGTCTGCCTTCTGTCCATTCCAATCGCTTCTACTTCCCAGCATCCCCATTTTGACTGTGACATGAGGAGTCGATTTGATCTATGGAAATGTGTCCATTTGCGGTCACAGCGTTCATGATGCAACGCTGTGCATGATGCTGGTAGTGGTTTCAAAAGGACTGCTCCAACTGTCATCGATGCCACAATTTTATACAAGCGGTGACGGCAAGTAGAAAAGCATCGCAAGAAGTCCCATTCCAAGGCAGTTTTATGCATGTAACACAGTTTATTCTCTGTGCAGTCTTTTGACCACCTCCTTCTTTCCCTGAGGGCGTCAGAAGTCTGCAGGATTAAAGTCATTTGGTCGCGTAAACGCCCCTCCCCCCAGTTTACTTAGCACTCGGAACCTACAAGTAAATTGGGATCATTTGAGACCAAGCAGGATAATTACGAGAGTGGGATATGATCTCGGGGTATGGTGCGGAGAGGAATGACACATGGTCCTTGGCTCTCACCGTCTGTTGAGGCTGTGTGGGTTTCCTCACTCTTTGATGTTTAACTCGTCTACACGACAAAGATATTTGGTCATCGCGTGACCACGATTACAAACATGATGGGCTGTCG